AATTTTCCAAAGACAGCATCTTTTATTCATGTCCCACTTCCCAGGTGTAAGCAAGTCTATATACAGCAACTACACAGGTGGCAATTACCCAAATGAATTACACTTGGTTTTCTAAACAAAATGAATATGCCTCTAATCTGCTGATATCAAAATAACCCAACAGATCATCAGCAGTGGTATAAACATGAGCGATGCAGCGATGCAGTAACTATATCAACACTGTAGCCAGAGGAGCTTCATTCGGTGCTGGTGTAAACATCTCGCAGATCGCAAACATTATATTGACAGCTCATCGATTCTGAAGTGCCAGAGCAAACTAGAGCGCTTCACTGGAGGGTTTGGCATCAACCAACAAGGTCATCAAATGAATGCGTATGAAGGTACAATCACAGGCAACTGAAACCAACCTTACTGGGGTAGAGCATAAATCTTAATGCCTAAGTGCATTTCATTTCATTTTAGGCATGCAACCAAAAGGACAAAGGTTCAAACCTAGCCTAAAAAAGCACTTGAATTCAGTTTCCTACAGGTGATTTATAATATAATATATAAAAAGGCACTTAAACTCAGTTTTCTAGGGGATGTGTCCTTGTGGAAGGTCTATTTGGCTAAAATGGATCTGCTAAATTATAGATAATCATAAGGAAATCTGGTGTTCAAGGAGTGGCAGCTGGATGACGCATATAATGAAATAATTCATTAGCAGCCTCCCTTGGCAAACAGTATGTGATGCCTGTTAGCTCAACAAACACGTGCACTAAACTAAGCACCAGTCGATGAGTCGCCACGACGACAGTGTCATCTGGGAGAAGTTTAACCACACGGCTCACAAAACACTGCCTTGTAGGGATACACATAAATGGATAGAACCTACTGGTTAACTAGTAAATATTAAACAACATTGATAACTATAGGGTCGATATAAAGCAAATATATGGGCTACTAAAGTTGTAGCATTATGACAATTGACAAGAAAAGTCTAATAATACAGCACAATGTACTATGCCAGGGATGGCGAACGTCAGTGCTATTATGAATATTATGAGTATTTTGAATTACACGTTGCATTGTGTTAGGTTTAAGGCTTGAAGGAAATGTCTGTATAATTAACAGTATAATTAAAGGCTTAGTTCTCCCCAAAATGAAAATTCTGTTATTAATTACTCACCCTCATGTCGTTCCAAACCCGTAAGACCTCCGTTCATCTTCGGAACACAAATTAAGATATTTTTGATGCATTCTGACAGCTCTCTGCCCCTCCCATAGACAGCAAGGATCCTTACACGATCAAGGTCCAGACAGATAACAAGGACATCATTAAAATAATCCATGTGATATCAGTGGTATGAGAATACTTTTTGTGCGCAAAGAAAACAAAAATAGTACTATAATATACACAAAGAATATCGGCCGATATATCGATATCAGCATTTTTTTACTCCCAAATATTGGTATCGGCCCCAAAAAACCCATATCGGCCGGGCTCTAGTTTAAAGTTTGTCGATCGCGCGTCTCCAGTGAAGCAGAACTCTCCTCCTGTCCGCATTCAATTCGCACGGACCGACCGTCACGCAGAGAACACGCGATCATGCAGGATACAAATGCACACTTCACAAGATCTCAACTAGATTTGGCTAAGTCTGCAAGGTTTGTGAAATTAGATGTTCATTCAAAGATTTGTTTAAATGATATTAATGCGTATTTATTGAATGCTGACGGCAAATGAGAAAGTATTATAATGTTTGCCTTTCTATTACTAATACTATTAAAGCAATCGTTATAATACTTTTTTGTCTGATTATTAGATAGATTTCTATCCATATTAGACAGAACTGAACGACGACAGTGAACAAGAAGGAGAATGTGAGTGCTGTGCGCTCAGGCGCTGCCGTTCTCAGCGCCGTCAAAATAAATCGAACACATCGGCCAAACAGAAAAACTTGCCAAATATCGGCCGATATATCGGCCTTGTCGATATATCGGTCGACCACTAATCAAAAATATCTTAATTTGTGTTCCGAAGATGAACGGATGTCTTACGGGTTTGGAACAACATGAGGATGAGTAATTAATGACAGATTTTTCATTTTTGGGTGAACTATCCCTTTAATAGAAAATTTTTTGTAACAATATATAAGTCCTTACTATCATGGTTACGTGATATGATGCAATATTCTCTAAAATGTCAGATTCATCGTCCTAGCACTTTATTTGTAGCAAAATTAGATCATGTGGTCAATTCCATTCAATTGCATTCTTCCACCCATAATTTAATACAGAAATCACAAATCAAATCTTCACTACCAAAAAAGAGACTCTAAAATGGAAACTTCTGGTTAGAAACGAACCAAATTCAAACATATACCAGCTATGTATTTGTAATGTGACCGCATCTCTCTGGTCTCCAACCTTCAGGCCCGATCTATCACACTTTGCTGTGAGAGTCACCTGAGATGCTCCTAGTGCCAGTGAGAAGATTGATTCTGTGACAACAATCCCACAGGTAGAGTAAACTGTGTTTCTTGACAAACACTCGCTTAATCTTTCCTCTCACTGGTTTTGCAGAATTCTGCTGACCACATGTATCCAGCCAACTTCAACAAAGGGGTAAAACACACCCTCTGCTTTGGCTCGGCTGGCCTCATCTCGACGCCATCGGTCAGACATCGGGCCAGACCTCTGGACTACGGAACAAAATGGGATACAATTGCAGACCACGGTCTGGACCAGGTCCGTAACCAGCTATGAGGCCACCGAGGTCAGGACCGAGGTAAATTTTTCATGTTCAAAAATAAAATTTGTTCTTTGAATGACTAATTTGCTGTTAAAGTCCTCATATGAATGCCTGCATTACATGTTTAATTCAGTTTAGACAGTTTGCAAGAATGTTTAGCGTCCCTGGTATGAAAATGATCGCTGCGAGATGCTGGCGGAGTGAAGGAGGCTTGAGAGAGTTGTGAGTGAGGGCACGGGCGCAGCCTCCGTGTTGCCAGATCCAGCTATTATAACCGTTTTTAGACTTGTCTTTTCCACTTAATTTAACACTTTAGAAAGTTAATAAAGTAGGAAGTTGCAGTTTAGAGTCAGCAATATCTTTATCTTATCTTATTTGCAAAAGATTGGAAATAATTTGTATCTATTTTTAGTTGTTTGTTTGTTTTAGTATCAATATCTGGCAACATTGCATCGCCGGCACTTAAACGGAAAGCAATCTAAAAAGCCCATGAACAGGTTTTTGCTGACAAGATACGACATTCGGTGAGGGAAAGGCAAAAATTATCATGATATTATCTGTCATAACGTTATCAGCGCTGTCAAAAACAGTAGCATTTAACACTAGTACACACAGATCTGTAGAACAAGTAGGTTACAGAATGAAATGAAATACACAAAAAGCCATGAAGAAGTCTATGCTGTCATTCAGTATAGTTAAATTTTATTTTTACAATTAAATTTCATGCTATGAACTCAGGGTATGTACAGGAATCATGGAGTTAAATTTAATACCTTTTAAGACCTTTTTAAGACTCTTTCCATACATTTTAAGACCTCATCGCCACTCCAAGTTTTAACCGATTACATCGGCGACACTTTAACTTACATTTACTATATATTGATTGCAAGATAGCACAACTAAACAGACTTACGTTGTGATAACTCCTTATCAATACAACATAATTCAGAAGGGGGGAACCCAACCCCCATCATCCCACCCCTAACCCGGACCTCACTAATTTTTTAAAGCCTGGGTACGGCCATGGTCTGGACCTCTTTACTGTAGCCCTGTGGTTACAGAAGAGTCCAAGTTAAGCTAAGAGACCTGGTAACACTCTAAATGCTTTTGAAATGAGCCGATCTGTCGAACAACTCTGGGAGAAATAAGGACTCATTATAAGGTCATTGAGAGAGGTAGCCTATATATATTACAAAAAAAGCTAATATGAAATCTACACACAGATACAAAATAAATAAAGGTATAAAAATGTATAAATGGATTCATTATTCATATTTTTGTTTATATATTGTATTATATACTGTTGTTCAATTTTTTTTTTTTTTATCTCTGTAGTGTAAATATAGTGTGTGTGTATATATATATATATATATATATATATATATATA